CACCACTTGACCACTTGCCTGCACCACTTGACCACTTGCCTGCACCACTTGACCACTTGCCAACCTTCTAGAAGGACTGCAGCTAGCCTTCTAGTCTATAGGTCTACGGATCGAATCCTGGCTACCTATAGACCTACGACAGACCTACCTACCACTGGCGGTTCTACAGGTCGCAGGTTCAACTCTTCGAGTTGACGCTGGTATTGTACACAGGTAAGCTGGGAAACTAGGGATCGAGCCCTGGGATCTACCTCAGCTACCACGAATTGGTGAATACCGTTTCAAATACACCATTCTGAGCATATTCCCAATTTGTAGAAATGCAGTACGGATGTTGTGTCCCATTAAACCATCACTCCGACAGCCCCTCCAATATTCATTTCTACAGTGCCCAGGCCAAGTAGAGGTTCGGTGGGGAATTTGGTCTCCCAGTATATAAGATATTATATGGTCGTCGAAGTGCATTCAGGATGCGCTGCATGTTCTAGCTCCATGAACGAGAATAGGGAGAATTATTATGTAAAAATGAAAAAAAGTAAGAAAATTCCCAGAGCTACCAGCCGGGCCGCCCACGTCACCTTGTTTGCCCGGACAACCGGGCCATGCAAGTGCAATAACCCATGCCATATGTCTCGTGGAAAAACTGAGGGCCAACTCGGCCGCCTCAGCCCAGGCCGAAACAGGGGCAAAATGACCCCACACGAGGACTCAGGGCCTGGACGTGAGGCAGTTGTCTTTGGTCAACTGTCGAGATCCCAACAGTCAAAGTCCAAAGGTACTTAGCCCAGGCCACTGGTCAAGCACACACACTTGTTTGTATGCAGGTACCCAGACAGCATCAGGCCCAAGGGAGAAGTCTGCAACTGCACAATCCGGGCCCTTAACTGTGAGTCCATCTGGACGACTGTAGGAAAAGCACCCGAGGCCAGACAGCCTCGACAATTGCTACTTAAGGCTGGTCTCGAGGGAGTCAAGCATTCAGTCTTGCCATGCTGTTTGGACGCTGGCTCGACTTGGACTAGACGCTGGCTTTATGCTGGCTCGACACTGGCTGTGCACTGGCGATGCGGACGATGGCACGAGGTGGATGCAACACGCCGGCGCTTCCTGCATTGTGCACCAGGCTGGCTGAGGTGGCATGCTGACGTGGCGCTACCTCTGGTCTACATTGCATGCTGACATGGCGCTACCTCTGGTCTACATTGAATGCTGACATGGCCCTACCTCTGGTCTACATTGCATGCTGACGTGGCGCTACCTCTGGTCTACATTGCATGCTGACGTGGCGCTACCTCTGGTCTACATTGAATGCTGGCGTGGTGCTACCTCTGGTCTACATTGCATGCTGATGTGGCGCTACCTCTGGTCTACATTGCATACTGATGTGGTGCTACCACTGAACTATTGCATGCTGATGTGGCACTATCTCTGGACTACATTGCATACTGATGTGGCGCTACCTCTGGTCTACAGTGCATGCTGAAGTGGTGCTGCCACTGGTCTTCATTGATGGTGTGGCATATGCCACCTAACTCGACTGCTGACGTGGCACTGTCCACCCTGTCTACATGAGGTGACTGGTTGCGAGGAGGAGGAAGATCGGGATCTGTGGATGAAGGAGATCAGGGATCGGGTACTCACCTGAGGTTGACGTCGTCACTAGAATCTGCTATGTCTTCATGGTCTTCACGAGATAAAGTGCCACGTGGCACTATTGTGTGTGATCAGGAATATACTTATTATCATTGTTGACGTGGAGAGGGAAGAAGCCCGGAGAAGGAGAGGGATCTGAAGGGATTTTTATTGTTTGATCTTTCATCTTCTCCTTTGGCTGTTCCCCCTCCACTCTCTTCTTTTGATGGTAATGAGATACTGTTTGTAATATCACTTCACGATTTGGAGACTTTGATGCAGATAATGAGACTACTGATGTTTGACGACTTCTGAGTATCTGCCAGACTGGGTTCATTACACAAGGAACGAAGAAGGTCCCAGCAAAAGGAGGTGGGTGGGGGGGGGCGGGGAAGAAATCCAAAAACTCTGAAAACAAGTTATGCAGAAAAATAAACTGAACAACTTTGGCCTAAGGGTCACATCGAAATTTTTTATCACATTTAAAATATATATATATACAAATATATATTGGGACCCGCCAGCCAAGTGGTCCCGGGCCACTCTGGTAGCCTAGGAAATTTCAAATTTTGGTATTACTTTTGGAACAAAGGAAAAAAGGAGTGGTTAAGAAAGAATCTGGAAAAAACATATTAGGTGCAAGCAATGAAGCTAAACCTCAGCAATAAATAACGCCTCTAATTTGTGGGAACGAGACACAGTAAAATCAAATTCCTAATAGCGAAAACACTTGCACACTTACGATGAATGCACCTGATGTCATTTACGCTCCCTATTCAATTACGGTAGAATTTGGGGTGTTACAGCCTCGTCCGATGTCCATTTTCATCATGGGTTCATCAGGAACACAGCACGAGAGCATAGCGCAAATGGTCCTCGATTCAAGTCGTCCCCTTTCCTTTTTTTTTTAATAATTCCCGAGATTCTTGTTTCACTAGTTGGTCGTTTTGTCAAGTCCTCTTTTAGTACCATTTCCACTCTAGACAAATTATATATTGTCACATCACTACAAACTAAAAG